CGCACAAGTCACCGGATTTGCGTTAACTCCGTCGGACGTACGGTGGACACCGTTGTTTGCGACGGTCAAGTTGTCTATTATTCCTTATCTCCAACGTTTATGACCGTGGAGAGACACCTCACGGGCAGACAGCATCTCCGCTGGAAGGCCAACATGTCAACCGTCTTTGGAGTTAACATCCAGTTAAGAAGATTTGATTGTATGAATTTAAATGAAAATGTTTAGCTGAACCAGTAAACCATGTAATACCTACCCCTTACTTCCAGGCGTATCCTTTTCAACGTCCAGAATTTGAGTTATTAGGAGTGAAACGGACAATAACGATTTCATACTTTCTGGGACAAGGTGCATAAGTTATTTCAATTTGAATGATGATATTTTGGGTGGCAATCTATGTTCTTGTGGAAAATTATTCTAAACAAAAGCATATTTGGATTAAGAAAGGCGAGCATTTAAACGTAGAGCGAAGAGGTGGCGGAACCACCATGGCGGATTTACGTGTGACACAGTGCCTTACTACTGGAGTGAGAACGCTACGACGTGGAAGAATGGGGCTAGAGTTAATTCAAAAAGGGATGCGAAGGCCAGCTTAGAGTCTTCTAGCCCATAAACAACTTCGCCAAATGAAATTTCTCAGTACAAGAACTAGGAGAGCCAGCTCGAGAGGAGAGTCTTCAAGTAAAAACTCTCTGTAGATCCCCGATGCTACTGCCGTCAAAATCATTCATAATACCAGAAAGGACAGCAATATTCAAAGATGGGAAGAACAAACAGGTGTCAACAGGTGATTTTGTAGCACGTTTGAAATTTTAATTGTTTTTGCACATTTACTCTTGTCTGACGATGACATGGGGAACCGACGGCGAAAATTTACTCAATAAAGTTTTATCTCTTTCCCAAGGAACGTATTTGATTTGAAATTATATTTATTGGGATGCCTGCGTTCCAATTCACAGGTATCAACTTTATAGTTCCACATCGACAGGGAGATATTATGTAATATGCGCCCACATATCTGCGCAGTCTTTGCAGAAATTCGACCAGCATAAGTTGACAGA